CAGACGTTGTAGAGAGGATCTTGTACAAGATTTCGGAACTCCGAACGGAGAGATCCGATCCTCTCTATAACATCTGGGGACGAGACTATAAAACAGGGAATAAAAACGCCAGATAATTACTGACATATGGTCTGTTATAATACATTATGCTGTTGTAATTGTTACTAATTATTGCGAGCGAAGCGAGCAATTCTTCACTAGGGCAGAAGTCCGCGACAAACATGTACAAATTCTACTCCCGGTGGCTGAGGGACCCACAAAGACCAAGGGCCAGCTATAAGTTGATACAGAGCTTTAAATATCCTCGGATTGAGCCTGGAAAGGTTCCAGAATCAATGATACCTATTTACTTGCCCTACCTATCACAAAACATGCCACGAAATACAGTAAGTTGAGCCGTATGCATGCAAGGTTGGTGTGTATGGTGCACCAGCTGTGCCACATAAGTGCTGCTCAATTCTTATTTCGTTCGTCCGTTCGTCTGTTCGTTCGATTGAGCGCGTCCAAAAGAGTGAGGGAGCAATGATGGCCGGCGATCCGGGACCACGGTCATGTGATGTGTTCTCCGTTGGTGGCCGGCACATTTATTTCCTGAGGCTTTTTCGAGATATATGCACAAGCATGATAAGAGCCCCAATTGGGTCAATACTCAGCCTGGGCACCCGGTCCATACATCTCAGAATTGCTATGAGGAGAATAATGTGGCATGTAATCTACGTCGACGGATTTCGTCCACATAACTAGCCACGGAAATTCTCGATGCTTTGCCGCGACCGGTGAGCACATCACATCCAGCCTCGTCTCTCGTGAGTGCGAGCTGAAGGAACTGCTAACTGGTTGGGTGAGAATCCTGGTTAGTCGGGATTCGGACGCGGTGCAAGGCGAGGCGCATACCCCACTTGTACCGCGATTTGCAGTTCCAACAGGTTCACATCACATATGAGCTTACATGGACTGGTATATGATGCATTGTAATGTAATCACTGTATGAATTGGTATGATCATATGTGGATGGTAAAGAAAAGGTGCGGGTGGGTGGGTTAAATCGAGGTAATATGCCTGCGTCTACTGTAGGAACGCTTCATCGTCGGTGAACGTCGTCGTTGAGGTCAGGAAGTCGAACGACGAGAA